GAATAGTTTCCATCCGCATCAGCTGGTTCAGAACCACAAAGGGCATGGGAAGTCAGAGGCCCCTCACCCCAAACAGAAGCTCTGTGCATCGGTCGTGGGGGGTCCAGGACAGGCTGAACATGCAAGGTGCCCCTGAGTTCACCTGCTGTCACTTGGCTGACTCCGTGCACGGGAGAGCCCGAACATGTCTCAGGGTGGGTAAAAGGCATGTGACACTGATAGACTGGAATTCGGAACCAGGAAAAAGGCATCTGACATCGCGAAGCTTCTGGGGAAAGACGCAGGGTCCTTTTAGCATGAGGAGGAACTAATCCCTTCCTAAGAAGGGACGCCCACAGTGCACCGGATGCGGTGTCGACGTGGCACTTTGTCCCAAATGTTGTTGGCCATTGCTGAGTCAGAGGTCTCATCTGTGGCGGCTCCAAAAAGGCAATGTGGGAAGACGATTTCTTTTTTGAAGTACATAGGAATGGCAAATGCTTCTTTAGGATTGGTGATGTCTCCTTAAGGCCTTGCTTCCTAGACTCCAAAACCCTTCCTTCCCATCCTCAGTGGCTTTCTGGTACCTGGAGCACACTGGGGCTCAAGGTGGGTCAAAAGGAAGATGGTGCCATGACAGGTATGTTCTGGGCCAAGGTGTGGAGTGTGGGTACCTGGGGCTCTGGCTTGTCCCAAGCTGTACCCCGACCAAACTGTATGACTTCGATTAGGTCACTGTACCTCTGTGAGCCTCAATTCCCTCCTAAGAATTGTATGAATGTTGGGCAAGGGTCGGGGGAGGCTTGGGAAAGGAAATTCCTTCCACCGGGCTCAAGAGTCCCACAATTATGTGGATAAAGGCACAAGTGTGGGGAAAACATGGGATTTACCCAAGGAAATCTGCATGGAGATCAAGTCATAGTTAACTGGATTTTTAATCTGAGTTCAACAATAATAATATAATATAGTGTAATATATTATAAATAACTACAGCATGTTAGTCCCCCCTCTTTGATGTGATCGTGCCAGAGGGGTGTGAGGTGTCCTTCAGGGTCCAATGCTTGCTGCACCAGACACGGCCTTCCTGATGTTGTGGATTTGTCCAGTTAAATTTTTTTTTAATGTTTATTTTTGAGAGAGAAGCACAGAGTGTGAGCAGGGGAAGGACAGAGACAGAGGGAGACACAGAATCCGAAGCAGGCTCCAGATTCTGAGCTGTCAGCACAGAGCCCAACGTGGGGCTCGGACTCCCGGACCGCGAAATCATGACCTGAGCCGAAGTCAGACGCTTAACTGACTGAGCCCCCCAGGCGCCCCAAGTTGAAGCCCAGTTAAAAGAAATATCTTGATACTAAGAGAGCTCTCGATAACTTCCTCCAGACAACCAGAGTCCTCACACCAAAGCGGTCAAGATTTAAGGGTAGAAGTGGATGAACCTGGAAACTATTTTACACCTAAAAATCTATAATCTTGAATGGTTTTTTCAGGCTACTTTCAAGTGTGAAGTGTGGTGAGGTGTGATGTGCTAGTTCAGGTGGGGATTCCCACCGGGGCTCAAGGGGCTACTGGTGTAGCAGCCACATAGAAGTGGACCTCCAATTTTATCATGTAGAACTAAGAGTTCTCTGGCTTCCAGCAGAGCAAGAGAGGCCCAAGAAGGAAGCCACATTCCATCATGGTGTGCCACCTCCAGTTCAGTAGAAGAGTCATTAAGGCCAACCCACACAAAGGGAGGGAATTGCCTAAGGAAATGGATAGCAAGGATCATCTAAGATTTCCCTAACTCATGCCATGATCGTGCCCTGTGTACGCTTCTATCACAGCAACCACTAGGCATGACTTAAAAAAAGATTTTTTTTTTAATCTTTTATTCATTTTTTGAGACAGACACAGAGTGTGAGCAGGGAAGGGACAGAGAGAGGGACACAGAATCCCAAGCAGGCTCCACCTGTCAGTGCAGAACCTGATGTGGGGCTCAAACTCATGAACCGTGAGATGACGACCTGAGCTGTAGTTGAACACTGAATGGACTGAGCTACCCAGGTGACCTTGGGCATCACTTATTGTTATTTCTTTCTCCTTATCTGAACTACTGGCCCCTAAAGTCGAGGGACACAACCTTTTTTACTTGCCTTTTTAATCTCAGTGCCTAACACACATTTTGGCTGTGACAGGTGCTCAAAGATGCTGAGTGGATTTGAAGGTATGTATGTGAAATTGACTTTAAGTTGATGACTCCCTCCTGATTTTTGATCACAGGATTCCTAGTTTCTAACTGGCCCAGGACACTTGGATGCACCATTAATTTTATGAGTGATTGCTTTTCTCACTTGCAGAATGGCATGGTTGGAGAGGGTGAGTTCCTGGGTCCCTCAAGTTTTAAAGTTTGCGTCAGGAGTCAACCATCTTAGCGAAACTGCCATCCTTCTCCCTCTCAAACAACCCCAACCAGGTTAAGTTTCTCAGGCAAAACAATTAGTGTTCCCCTAAATGCGTGCGGCTGCCCCCATTCTTGGAGGCAACTCTCGCCTCTTGCCCTTTCCCAGCGGAGAACAGGCAGAAGCTACGGGCCAATGAGCTTCGGAGAGCGTACTACGAGGAACAAAGGAACGAGTTTGAGAACTTCGTGGAGGAGCAAAATGATGGTAAGAGCTCTTCAGCCAGGGTCGTTGGGGAAGTGGGCCTTTGTGGGAAAATCAAAAGTTGCCTCCATGTCTCCCTCAATTTAAATGTTAATTTATTTTATTTTGAGAGAGAGTGCACAGGCAGGGGAGGGGCAGAGAGGGAGAATCCCAAGCAGGCTCTGTGCCTTCAGCACAGAGCTTGACTCAGGGCTTAATCTCACGAACTGTGAGCCGAATGCAAGAGTCGGACGCTTAACTGACTGAGCCACGCAGGTGCCCCATCCCTAAATTTTAATTAGAGGAGGGAGGGAAGAGAGGCTCTTTCAGTTCACATCTTTGGGAGTCTTGAAGGAAGAAAGGCACAGACATGGCTGTAGACCTTGAGAAGGCGAGGAGAGGATACAACACGTAGGTTTCCACTGGCTCAGGGAATGTTCAGCTGATTCTATTTTCTACTCTTACGTGGGAATCTCTGTGTTCTCTTAGCGGCTACACCTAGTGGCTTAGCTCGGGTACACGTGGGTTATACCTTTCAAGTACCTTGGATTCACATCAATACAACAGCTCTAGGAACTACTCATTCTGGAAAACCAAGCCCTTCATTTACCTATTCACTCTGAACAGCATTTGACGGCTGTAAGCAAACCAGGAAACCTGACCTCAGAAAGCAACTCACCCATCATGTTAGACACACCATACATTTTGTGTTCTGCTTGTGTCCTATGCAGTTGCTGTTCATATCTTTTCTAGGCTTTGGCCTTTGCCTCAGTCTCTTCTTATCAGGCAATCGGCATACTTTATTCCCTCCATTAGCCCTCGGGCAGATGGGACTCCTACCTCCCTCAGGAAATGTTGATTTCATCAAGTCCTCCATGGAGGCAGCTGGGTATGGGCATGGGCAGAAGGAGGTTCTGTCTTTGAATCAGTCTCCCATGGGGTGGGATTTGACTTTGCATCTATTAAGCGTACTCAAGTGGTACCCGGAGCAAAAATGTGTAGGAACATTTAATAGGCCTGACTGGCTGGCCAGAGTGTGTCGGTTTGAGTCTTTCCTCAATCATTAAGATGGAAATGCTCCTGATGCACTTGAGCTTAGACACAAGGCCCCAGGTTAGATGACCTTTGCTAGAGAAAGTCAGTGATTTCAGTTCTGAAGTTGTGGTCCTCCTGGCTTGTATGCTCTAGTGGATTTGTGTGCTCTAGTGGATTTGCCCTTTTATGGCATCTCTTAGGAAAAGGATACAATCAACAGGTACCTGAGGGCTGCAGGCCATGCCCACTGCCTCGCAGGTGGCCCCTGAGGTATTGGGCTTGGATCCTGCCAAATCAAGCTTTCCTGGTAACATCAAGACCAAGTTCAAGCTGTCTCGACTCAGAGGGAAATATTTCTGTTGGATATGTGTTTACCTTGGTGAACAGTTGGGAGAGGCATTTAAAAAATGAGTATATGGCCTGCAAAATTCCTTGTTTTTTGTTTTGTTTTTTTAGCACTTTATTTTGTACATTTTTAATGTTTCAGGTTCAAATCCCTCGCATCTGGGTGGAGAACACTCACTGTTTTCCCTTTCACGATGAGTTAGGGTGAGGGGCCAGGCACTCCGGGATGACAAGTCCTCTACTAAAGGCATCAGGGGCCTCAGGCCTATGGGGACTGTAGTGACGGAGCTGTGATTACTGGTGGAGTACTTGCTCTGTTGGGCACTGTTCTGAACCCTCCAACCCTGACAACCAGCCTCTCAGGCCTTAATAATTTGTTTTTTAGTTTTAAACACTCAGGCTTAGAAAGGATCCCTAAATATCCAAGGTGCCATAGCTAGTCAGGGATTTGAACCAAGGTGTTTTGCCAGCAAAGCAACGTTCTTATAAATGAAGGAGGATCACGTGCAGAGAGGTCTCGAGGACTCACTTTGATCTAGGAATTGGCCCATGTGGACAGATGGAGTGAGGAGAGAAAAGAGAGCACCCCCACCCGCAAACCCAGGAGAGGTCTTCTGAGCTTGATAAAGGAAGGAGGCAAGGAGGTGAAGCAGGCCCAGCCTGCCCGAGAGTGAGTGGGTGAGCATCGCAGGAAGTGAAACTCATTTCTCTTTTCCTCCTCTTCCCTTGCTTCTGCCCCAGAGCACCTCGTCCTGCGTGGGGGCCGGGCTGGTAAGACCTCTACCCCGGGGGGGGGGGGGGGGCGTTCCAAGCCCTACACTCTCCTCAGTCAGGACCTTAGTTTTTCAGTTGGCTATCTTGATGTGACAGCGTCACCTGTCTCAGAATAACTGCCAGTTGAGGTTTACCTCCCACCCCTTAAAAGCAAATGCTGAGGGGGGCGCCTGGGTAGCTCAGTCGGTTGGGCGTCCGACTTCGGCTCAGGTCATGATCACGCAGTTCGTGGGTTCAAGCCCCGCGTCGGGCTCTGTGCTGACAGCTTGGAGCCTGGAGCCTGCTTCGGATTCAGTGTCTCCCTCTCTCTCTGCCCCTCCCCCGTTCATGCTCTGTCTCAAAAATAAATAAACGTTAAAAAAAAAAAAAAAGCAAATGCTGAGGAACTACCATGGGTAAAGGAAAGGACTTGGATTTTCAAAGGAGGAAGTTTAGGCAGGTGGTCTGAGAGTGATTTCTGGACCAGAGTGACCTTCCTGAGAGGCTGAGAACCCCATCTCCAAAGCCCATCGGCGCATCTAAGACACTGGACCTATTCTCTTGTGGTGCCTGGCTGCACCTCTACTCAAAACCACCATCTTTACAAGGCAAAGATGCCTCTGAGTTCTGCCTCTGAAAGTGCCAGAGTAAATAGTGTGCTGAGCCCCTACTTCTAAGGTCTGTGTGGCAGCACAGATCTGCTTCCACCTTCAAAGCCAGAAGCCTGGGTCAGGCCATCTGGAGTTGGCTGTGTGACACCTGACTTGGCTGAAGATGCTCAGCCACATGTGGTTCCCTGCACAGAAGTTACATTGTTTGGGTCTTTGGGTCTTTACCAGGGAGGCCTTCCCTCTGTCGAAGTGTAATGGGGTGAGAAGAGTTTGGCACGACCTGGAGAAAAAAACAACTTTTATGCTAAAATCACGCCCTCAAGAGCCTTTTACTTTGAAAAATTTCATTCATATGGAAAAGTATATATATTTCTTGGTTACCCCCACATAACCATCACCCAGAATTAACAATGATCAAATTTCCCCACACTTTGCTTCATCCATGCCCTTTTCTGGTTGGTTTTTAAAACATAATGTTGGGGGCACCTGGGTGGCTCGGTCAGTTAAGTGTCAGACTCTTGATCTCGGCTCAGGTCATGGTCTTTCGGTTTTGTGAGTTCGAGTCCCACATCGGGCTCTGTGCTGACAGTGTGGAGCCTGCTTAGGATTCTGTCTCCCACTCTACGGCACTCCTGTTTGCTATCTCTCTCTCAAAATAAATAAACTTAAAAAAGCAAAATTAAAAAAAAACAAAAACACAACACATTAAGTTTTAAAGCCTGATGAAAAAATCCCTTATAATGCCATTGCTTGAAGTTGACAATCATTGCCTTGCATGATTTTTTTCGACCATTAAGCCCATCATCTCTTTGCATTATTCCTGGGTTATCTCTGTACTTTGTTTCTTACTTGTTATTTCTTTGAGCCAATTTCTGGTGAAGGCCGTCCCCCCTTGGTGATTATGTACGGGAAGGGGCACTGAACCAACACATAGACCTTGACTGGCTCTCCTGGCCACCAGCTCTTTCACCTGCCTGGGCTTGGCTCTCAACTCCACCAGTGAGGCTTTTGGACTCACTGTTCCCTCACATCTTTCAGTTCAGATCTTCTGTCACCAGTGCACCCAGGCACAGTTTGTTCAGGTCACCACAGGGTAGGCAGTTTGGACTGATGGCTGACAAGAGCTTGGTGGCTCTCCTCACGTCAGAGTGCTCTCTGTACTAACATGACGACCTCACCTCTGTTCCCCAGAACAGGAAGCGAGAAGCCGGGAAGCTATTGAGCAATGGCGCCAGTGGCATTACGACGGCCTGCATCCATCATATCTCTATAACCGCCACCACATCTGACCTCATTTTGACAGAGCAGGAAGATGGAGCTTGAAACTCACAAACCTACCCCAGGTGTCTGACCAACGCCTCCACACCAGCAGGCCCCTTCACAGGGTCTCAACTGGGGGTGGAGGGGGGCTGCCGTGGTAAACACACAGGCCTTTTGTTCTGGTGTTTTAAGATGCCCTGGCTTTTGCTTCTTTGCAGATGATTTTCTGAGGTGAGCAAACACCTGCAGGGCCTCCTGGCACCAAACCTTCAGTGACGTCCCCTTATTTAGCCATTGTTCCCACAGTTAAGACTCCTGTCCTGTAGAACAATGAGAAGGGTCGCAATAAAGACGACAGATGACGTGTTCGCTTAAGGCTTAGAAATAAAATTGCTGAGTCAACACTGTATCATCTTGTAAAACCTCACACGGAGCCGAGTGACACATGTCCCCCTCATTGACTTGGGCTTTTGAAAGCCCGATCTCCAGCAGTGCTGCTCGCTAGTTTCTTGTCTCGGCAGTCATGCAAATGCAAGAGAGATGCCAACACAACTGGTTAGGTTAGACCCTTCTCTGGGATGGTTACTGAGCCCAGGGGCTTCCTCGTGTCTCCGAAGAGACTCAAGGTTCAACTGTGGTTTCCTCATTGCATCCATCAGAAGCCAGGGTTACAGCAAGACCGGCTGTGGCCAAAACTATAAAGGAGCTGAAATTTAGCATCGGGGGTCACCTCACTCTTCTGCCTTGTGCCCAGGTTACTTCAGGGCTGCCATAACAACGCGCAACAAACTGGGTGGCTTTAAAAAATAACAATTTATTCTCTTACAGGTCTGGAGGCTACAGGTCCCAATTCAAGGTGTCTGCAGAGCCGTGTTCCCTCCCTCTCTTTGCGGGAGGATCCTGCCCTGCCTGCTGCAGCTTCTGGCGGCTCCAGGGCCTCCTTGGCTTGTGGCTGTGTCACTCCAATCTCTGCACCTGTTGTCATGGGGTCTCTGTGTCTCTCTTCTCTTCTTGATACAACTTTTTTTTAAAAGAAGTCCATTTATTTGAGAGCAAGCGAGCACGAGGGCAGGGGAGGGGGAGGAGAGAATCCCAAGCAGGCTCCGCACTGTCAGAGTGAGCCCGATGTGGGGCCTGAACCCCCAAACCACGAGATTATGACCTGAGCCAACATCAAGAGTCGGATGCTTAACTGACTGAGTCACCCAGGGGCCCTTTAAGTTTTTTTTTTTTTTTTTTTTTAAATCTTAAGATCAGGAGCCACATGCTTTATCTTCTTATTAGGACACCAGGCACACAATTCAGCTCCTACCAGTGCCCCTTTCTTCTCCTCTCAACCACTCTGCTTCCTGCCCCAGACTCAGCATCTACCCTGCTTCATCCTTGCTTCCAACCACCTTCAGGAATCCCACACTAAGAACACAAAACCACCAAGAACAAGTGCAGCAGGCAGTGGAGTCACAGTAGATTAGAAGATACAAAGGACACCTGTCCACACCCCTGAGCCCTCTGCTCCCCCGGAGACGTGGGTCCCCGGCCAGCTAGTCGAGCCTGCTTCTGAGGATCCCAGGGCAGCACAGGGGGACTTTGTTTAAGGAAAAGCTGCTCAACGGTGGTACAATACTCCATCAGAGGTGGGGTGAGATCAGGACATTTTTGTAATGAATGCATGTATTTGTAAGTAGTCTTTTAATATTTATTTATTTTTGAGACAGAGAGAGACAGTGTGAGCAGGGGAGGGGCAGAGAGAGAGAGGGAGACACAGAATCCGAAGCAGGCTCCAGGCTCTGAGCTGTCAGCACAGAGCCCGATGCGGGGCTCGAACCCACGAACCGTGAGATCATGACCTGAGCCGAAGTCGGATGCTTAACTGGCCTAGCCAGCCACGTGCCCCTTTAAGTAATCCTTTAAAAGACTAATAAAATCTAGTGATTAAGAAATTGGGCATTTTCCAAATCACCTCTTCAGCCCTGTGTTTTCTTACAAAAAGTCGTCAGCCCTGTGTTTTCTTACAAAAACTCCAAGCAGGAGCGAAACTGGCCTTCAGAAGCCAAGAAGGGCACCGGGCAAACCCTGTCATTAAATGTTGTTACATGGGCAGGTTGGATAGAGAAGTTGTTCTCTTCTCAGGAGTGTGGGGATTCACCCTTTGGAGACTCAGGTTTGGGACACAAGTCCCAGCACAACCAAAGCCCAAGCAGTGCCCAATTTTTCAGCGGCGTGACGAGCTTCTGATGAATGAATATGCCTTAAGGACTGGCAGCTGAGCCTTCGGAATACTCGGATTACGCTGTTTAGGAAATCGCCGAGGCGTGTGCTTGTGTGCTGTGCTACCAACACACCCCTTTGCTGTCTGTGGGATCAAATTAGAATGCTTCCAAAAGGAAATCAGGAGAGTAATGAAAACTCCTCAGAACTGGAAAAACATGCACAAAATGTTCAACTGAAAACTGCCATTTCACCACTTAAAATGTTCTTTACACTTTTGCTGCTTCTTACCCAACCTCCCCCTACCCCCTGCCCTCAGGCGCCCCGGATCTTTTCTTTTCTTTTTTTTTTTTAAACAAGACATTTCTACTAGGAAATTATTTCATTTACAATAGGTGCTCAATGTAGCAAATTCAAGCAGCACAGATATCCATGACACATGGGGAACCTGGCTGGCTCAGTCGGTAGAGCGTGGGACCCTTGACCTCAGGCTTGTGGGTTCGAGCCCCTCAGTGGGTATAGAGATTAAAGATAAAATATTAAGAAAGAAATCCAGTACACAGGAGGAGTTTTGCCTTCTTGCCTAATTCAAGGTAAGCCCTGTCAGTCGTTTGGGGTGCATCCTTCCATTTTTTAAAAAATTTATTTGAGAGAGAGAGAGAGAGAGAGAGAGGAGAGAGAGATGCATGAGTCGGGAGGGACAGAGAGAGAATCCCAGGAAGGCTCAGCACACTGTCACTGAGGAGCCCGAGGTGGGGCTCTACCTCCAGAGCTGTGAGATCATGACCTGAGCCGAAATCAAGACGCTTAACTGACTAAGCCACCCAAGCACCCCTCCTTCCACTTTTTCTGTCTCTTCTCACACACGTACTTCATTCTTTAAAAGGCAACAGAACACGTGATTGCGCAAACCCAGCTCGCCCCACATCCAGTGCAGAAATGAGACACTTAGCAGATCTTGGCCACACAGAACTGGCTGAGACCGAAGTTGAGCCCTGAAAGCTCCCTCTTTCTAACCCGAGTATTTGCCTTGACCCAGCGGCTCATTATTATATTGTCACGGGCATGTTCCTTGCTTCTTTCCAGAAGCAAGGAGAAGCATCACGGAACAGGATTCTTTTACCGGAAGCCTCTTCGTGGTGGAGCTGGTGCGGCTCCATCCAGTCCCAGCTCACTTCTGTGAGGTAACGGCTACTCAGGGGATTGTCTGTGTGCCTCAGTTTTCCCTCGATAAGCCCTATTTTATATTTCTATCACATGGCCCCCACGGCGGGGGGGGGGGTGGGGGTGGCGCTGTTTGTGTGTGTCTTTGTTCCCTCTCCACATCAGTGAACATGCTAGACTTTATTCACCCATTCCTCTATTAAGGCAGATTTCTGGAAACGAAATGGTAAGTCGTAACTTACACACGTTAAATACGTGTGTATTTACGTATATTACACACGATAAATAAGATTTCTCTTCAAAGAGGCTATGTACTCTCCATCACTGGATGGACACCTTTGCCAACGTTTCTTAAACCAAGCAAACTGAGGATACTGGCGGAAAGGTCGGGAAGGGGGAACTCTTTCATGATACACTAGCCATGTGCCCCCTCAGAGTGCAAATGTCACCTTCCACTTTAGTGTCCACATCACACTTCCCCAGGTTATTAGTGCACACTCTGTCTACAGGAGACACACATTTCCACCAGCCGCCCCTCTGCCCTCAGCCCGTTTTCTCCTTCAGACGCCTGCTCTTCTCTGCAGCCTTCACTGAAAGTACCAGCAGCTTTAAATGAGAACGTGATTGCACTGGAAAAAACTGGTATAAAGTAAAAACTTTGCAGACGCCTCAGTATTGCATTACTATTTTTACTTATTACCCAAGGAGACAGATTATTTGAGAAGGGATATTTCAAAGTTTCCAAACATAAATCTCAACAGAAAGGAATGGAGTTCTGCTGTCTGCCTGCCATCTCACATCCCTGATCTAGTAATCTCTACACCCAATGTGGGGCTCAAACTCACGACCCCACGGTCAAGAGTCGCATGCTCTTCTGACTGAGCCGGCCAGGCGCCCCCGCCCGTCTCTGGTCTAAACTGGAGAAAGAGCCAGCCTCAGTGGAACAAAGGTCAGAGCTGTTCCGCTCTGGATCACTGGGCAGGAGAGGCACAGTGGGGCCCGTGTGCACTCCGGGGGCCTTGGCGGAGCTGGCCAGAGACACCCCTGCCCCAGTCTTGCTCTAGCAGGAGGGGCTCCGCGTTAGTACCTAATCCCACACCTGGATACATTCTCATGGAGGAGCAGTTCCCGCCTGTCTTTAGCTGGGCCACCAGGTGAAACAAGAGATGGTCAACCAGCTGGCTGGGCTTGACAGCTGGGCACGAGCAGCGCAAGCTCGGCTGACCGCCAGCTCCGATCCCGAGGCAGGCCCGCCGGCTGTGGGGCCAGGGGTGCTGGAGAGCTTGCACTTTACCCACGTGAAACTGCCGTCTGTTGGCCAGATCCAGTCTCTGAACTTTTATGTTGGTAACCCTGGGCTAATGAGGAAGATGTGCGTGTTTGCACATCTAGCTGTGCAACAGAGAAAAAGCAAAGCACTGCTGTCCACCTTAGCCAGGAAAATGGAGCCACATTTTGGCTCGTCTTGGCAATAACACATGTGCCCTCTGGTGAGAGCTAGCAACCAGGTGGCTGGCAGCTGATGGACTCTGCCTCGCGGCCAGACCCGCAGCCACCCATGCCTGCAGAAAAGAACACTTAGTTCATACAAAGGTCAAAAATCAACAATGGTCTGGGTGAGGGGCCAGTGTGAAAGAACAAAACAGCTTGTCCTTGTCTCGTCAAAGGCTATGCTGGGCATGTTGGCTCTAGATAAAGCACTCTGGCGGAAATCAGAAATGTATTACCTCATTTTACCCCTATCCTTAACAAGGGCCCAGTTATGCCTTGGCGATTTCAAATTCCACCCAGAATTCTTTCATTTACTAAAAGCCAATCTCACTCATTCTTCCTGGGCAGGGAGTAACATGCCAAAGGTAACATGAATGGGAATCTGGGCGGCCACATTTACTAGGAAATTAGTAATGGAGCAATCTGTATTTTTAGAGATTGGACTTGCCAAACGTGTGGCATTTTGGACATTGTTTTATTTTTAATTTTTTTCTTAATGTTTATTTTTGAGAAAGAGAGTGCAAACAGGGGAGGAGCAGAGAGAGGGAGACACAGAATCCAAAGCAGACTCTAGGCTCCGAGCTGTCAGCACAGAGCCTGATGCGAGACTTGAACCCATGAACCATGAGATCATGACCTGAGCTGAAGTCAGACACTTAACTGACTGAGCCACCCAGCCGCCCCAATAAAATTAAGTTTTGACCAGTGATGCCTACTTTGTTAAGCCTATTTTCTATGATTAAAAAAAATCTGTATAGTTAGATTAATAAGTTTTCACAAAGTTGGGGCACTTGCGTGGCTCAGTCAGTTAAGCATCTGACTTTGGCTCAGATCATGATCTTGCAGTTTGTGGGTTTGAGCCCCACATTGGGCTCCGCACTGTCACCTTAGTAATTCTCTCTCTCCTTCTCTCTCTGCCCCTCCCCTACTTGCACTCTCTCTTTCAAAGTAAATAAACTTAAAAGTTTTCACAAAGCTTTCTTGAAGAAGTTTTCACAAAGCTTTGCAAGGAGAGAGCTTTGTAAGGGAATGACAATGTTTCAGGGATATGCCTGAAAAGAACATTCACTTAATATGTAAAACAAAGGAGAAAAGTGTTTTTTCACATAACTTCTCATTAATTTAGACCAGTAGTAACGAGTCTCAAATAACACACTAGTGAGTCTGAATCATTTAGGGAGGAGGCCCCCAAACTTAAAACTTTCCTAAATAAAACCTGCAACCTCATTAATATGAGGCACTGAGGTCAGGGTGCACTGGGTTAGGATTTTATTAGCTCGTGTTTGGTTGTCTGTCACGCAGCCAGCACAGAATTATGGTACCAAAGAGCAAGATGTTTTCTGTTTTGTAAGATAACCCAAATATACCCTTAAATTGGTATCCTGAAATCACTGTTCAAAAAAGAAGAAAAAAAAAAAAAAGCTCATTCCTTTAGTAAATCACTGAAGACACTCTTCCTGTCCCTTAAACTCAAGGTGCTTGAATGACACAATCAGACACCACTGTAGTTTATTTTGGTGTAATAGTTAATTATGCTAAGATAAAGTTCATCACAACCTGAAAAATGAACTCAACCCAGGACTTGATATGGCCTGCCCCTTCTCAAGGCCCGGCCCATTGGTACTCAACTAATAACATCACTAGGGAATGTATGAGAAGACAAACACACTATTATTTACAGATCTTCTTGTCCAACCCTACTCAGAATACACCCTTGATACTTAATGGTGAAAGAAAATGCTTTCCTCTTTAGATTGGGAACAAAAAACAGTCATAGACAGGAACTGAAGTGTTAAAACTTCTCAGGCAACATGATCCAACACAGAAAATCCTAAGGAATCTATAAAAACGCTGTCAAACTCATATGTAAGTTAAACATGGTCCCAGGATACAAGGTCAACTGACAAAATTGCATTCCATTTCTATATACTAGTAAGTAATAAGTGGGAATTACAATGCAGAAAGTAGCCCTTACAATATCATCAAAACTGTAACACATTTAGAAATAAACATGACAAGGGGCGCCTGGGTAGCTCAGTCAGTTAAGCATCCGACTTCAGCTCAGGTCATGATCTCACAGTCTGTGAGTTCAAGCCCCACGTCGGGCTCTGTGCTGACAGCTCAGAGCCTGGAGCCTGCTTCAGATTCTGTGTCTCCCTCTCTCTCTGCCCCTCCCCTGCTCATGATCTGTCTCTCTCTGTCTCAAAAATAAATAAAAAACATTTTAAAAAAATTAAAAAAAAATAAACGTGACAAAATACATATATGATCTGTACACGAAAACTACGTATAATGTTAACTTTGACAGTTGCTTTCTTTTCTGTAATCCAAGTGTGTAACTTAAACTTTGATGAGACACCCATTGCAAAGACAACCATCTCAGACAAACACAGTGCCAGCTTCACCAGTAGATTCAAGAGCCAGGCTACTCCCTCTCACGGACAGTCCTTTGTTTTCGAGATTTTGGTTTATGTCTCTAACTGACCACTTCATTTTTCTCTCTGAGTACTTTAAAATCCTGCTCTTATGTTTTAAATTCACCAGTAAAGTGTGAGCCCACGAAATCCTAGATCCCCACCCTTGACCTTGGAGTCCCTTGCCCACATGCGCTCCTTGTACCCAAGACCTGGCTGTTTGGCCCCAGGGGTGCTATGTAATTTCCAGGTCTTATAATTAGCAAACCTTTATTTTCTCAAAGGTTGCTCATGGTTCTTGCTGAAGGACATCTTGCAATCGTAATAGGATTCACAACAGCCAGTCCAACCATAACACTGGTTATTCACAGGCTGGGGCAGGCACTATTACTACCAAACATTGCTGAGAAAAATTAAAGACCTAAATAAATGGAGAGATGTATTATGTTCACAGAATGCCTTAAGATGGCAATTCCCCCAAATCGATCCACAGATTGAACAGTCATAATACGAATTCCAGGAAGGGTTTTTAGAGTAGAAATCAACAAGCTGCTTCTAAAATTTACACAGAAATGCAAAGGACCTAGAACCGCCAAAACAAATTTAAAAAAGAACAAATCTGGAGGACTAACACAGTTAGTCCTGAGCTGAAATCAAAAGTTGGATGCTTAACCGACTAAGCCACCCAGGCTCCCCCAACTTGTAATGTTTTTAAAAGTTAATATTTTAAAATGTTGAAACTCAATCTGCTGTGACAGGACATTCAGGTCAACTACTTTTCTGTGAGGTACAATTTTTGTTTGCTATTCTAGATCACTGCGTTTTAACTCTGTTTGGATGGCCTATGAATATATAATAAACCCTATACTGCCAACAGCTGAGTAAGGAAAAATTAAACACATATTTTGGATTTACATAAAAGCATTTAATACATTGATAAAAAGGATAGTATTAAAAGACTGATCTCAATAATGAAGTGTATCTACAATGCAAGCAGCTAAGTCCCCCTTCTGGCCCACCCACCCCTTCTTACCCCTGAATACTTGAAGAAACATACACACAAAAGACCTCAAATGAAAGCTCCCCCAAGATCTAGAGTAACTGAGAAGTATTGA